GGGGAGGGAAGGGAAAATGAGGAGCTGATACCAAGGGCTCAAGTAGAAAGCAAATGTTTTGAGAATGATGAGGGAAACAAAGGTACAAAAGTGCTTGTCACAAGGGATGTATGTGTGGATGTGATAAGAGTTGTACAAGCCCCCAATAAAATGATTTAATTATTTTTTAAAAAACCACCAGATGCTCCATGGGGGAAAAGAGGGAGCTTTCTCCGCCTGTAAAGAGTCCGTCTCAGACACTCACAGAGACAGCTCTACCCTGTTCTATAGGGCCTCTGTGAGTTGGCATCGACCTGATGGCAGTGAGAGTTGAGTGAGTCTTCTCTGGTTCAGATCAGAAAACGTCCCGACAAACACATTCACCCTCCCCTCCCTGTGCCCCTGCATGGTGTCAGGTAAGACCCAGCGAAGCAAAACTCTTTAGTTGAGTGTTTACCTTGACCAAGACCCAAGCTAGTGGGCAATGCAACAGGCTTCCCCTTCCTTCCCCAGCCTCACTTTGTCACCTAAAAGTGAAAGCCTTCCCTTCATGGCCAAAGCCCCTCCCAAGGTCATTGCAGACGTTCCGCCATCCAGGTAGAGCTGATCGACTTGTGGCTGAGCCGCAATCAATTACGGACTTCCCAGGACATGTCTTTCTTCTCGCTTAGGCATTGCCACCGTGCTGTTACGGGTGTTAGCTGGGCTTGGATGTGAGCACTCAAGCTTTCCCAAGACCTCAGCTCAATTTGCTTGAATTTCAACTATCACCGTATTGTGCCTCATTCTGAGTGCAAACATGTCAACGCATCTACCCAAACCTACTGCCGTCAGGTGGATTCCAACTCACAAGTAGCCCATTAAAATTAAAATAAAAACCCACTGTGATTTAGTGGATAATGACTCATTGCAGCCCTATAGAACTGTCTCTGTGCGTTTCTGAGATGCAACTGTTTATGGAGAAAGTCCTGGCTTTCTCCCTCAGAGCAGCTGAGGGTTTCAAACTGCCAACGTTTCAGATAGCATCCCTACTCATAACCACTATACCACCAGGGCTCCTCAGGGACCCTATAAGACAGCATAGTTTTAAATCTTTAGATCTTTATGGGATGTGTCAGTCTGGGTCGACTAGAGAAACAAATCCAGGGAGACTCATATGTGTTTAAGAAAGAGCTTTATATACAAGAGCAATTGAATATTGAGAATATTGAGAAAACATCCCAGCCCAGATCAAGTCCAATTAAGCCCAATATTAGCCCATATGTGCAATACCAATCTATAAAGTCCTCTTCAGACTCACAAAACACATGCAATGACGCTGAATGCAAGAAGATCACAGGCCAGTGGGTGGGAGGTCTTGTGGATCCAGTGATGCTGTAAGCATCTCAGTACTGGCAGGGGTCTCCATGTGGCTTCTCCATCTCCCAGGGCTGCATCACAGTAGGTCCATGTGGCTTCTCCTCAGGGATATCTCACAAGGAGTGAGCCTTGTCAGTTGAGTCTCCAAGGGAGTGAGCAGAGAGAGAGAGAGTGAGAGAGACACTCCCACCTCCAGCCTCCAAGGAGGAATACAGGAGTTCCCAGAATCCTCAGGAGAAGTCCTTGCCCACACAAAGGCTTCATTGGCTATATCCTGATAGACAGGCCAGACTCCTCCCCTTCACTTGTAATCCTCTCAAAATGACAACAGATTATATAACTACCACTTGGGAACAGACAGCCTCAGCTTTCTCCCAAACCGCGGCTGGTGGGTTCAAACCAGTGACCTTGTAGTTAGCAGTCAAATGCGTCACCTACTTCACAATCAGGCTTCCTTAACAGTGGAGTGTGCTTTTGTTTGTTTATATATAATTTCTTCTCTATCATTTTTAATGAGCTCTTACATACCATACCTATTTTCCTAATTCTTTAAAACTCCTTTTACTTATTTAACCTTGTCTTCTTCTAAAACAATATTTTTCTTTCTGACCATTCCTGCTCACCTTTATGTTCTGTCTTAAAATAAAAAGTTTTCCTTATAAAATTGGGCCCATTAACATTTTTCTAATCTTTCTTGTTTACTTTTTCTTTTTAATTAGATAAAATGATAATGATATCCTCCATTATGATAACCTGTGGCAACTACTTTGGGTTGTACCCCTGTGGGTTAGGTATCCAGCAGCCACTGTGACTGTCCTAGACCTCTGTGGCATGCCATAGACCACTGTGACATGTCTTAGACCACTGTGACATGTCATAGACCACTGTGACATGTCCTAGACCACTGTGATGATATGTCCTGGACCACTCTGACATGTCCTAGACCACTGTGACATGTCTTAGACCACTGTAATATGTCCTAGACCACTGTGATGACATGTCCTGGACCACTGTGACTCTCCTAGACCACTGTGACATGTCCTAAACCACTGTGACTGTCTTAAACCACTGTCACTGTCCTAGACTACTGTGACATGGCCTAGACCTCTGTGATTGTCCTAGATCATTGTGACTATCCTAGACAACTGTGACAACATCTCCTAGACCACTGTGACTGTCCTAGACCTCTGTGACTGTCCTGGACCACTGTGATGTGTCCTAGATTATTGTGACTGTCCTAGACAACTGTAACAACATCCCCTAGACCAATTGTGATGTGTCCTAGACCACTGTCCAGCCTAAAGGATGATTAAAAAGGCTCTTAGAGAGGCCTGGAGCCACAGGTGCCCAGCAGAGGAGAGCCATGTCTCTGGAGAGCCAGGTCTACCTTCCTATCCCCACCCTAATGGCTGAGTCATTCATTGACTGGGAGCAGCCACAGCGACATCCACTTCTTGCAAAACCATGACTGATTTCAGGTCCTTGGCCAATTAACGTTTCCTGGCTCTGTGTGTGGGAAGTGGCAGTCCTAACACTAACCCTGCTCCCCTTTTATCTCTTCCTCACCTCCAGGGGCCCATGCTCTGGACACCCCGAACCTGCCCGAGGACCTGCCTCCTGGACTCCCAGCACATATCAGTAAGGCCTCTTAGAACTTCTCTTAGGCAACCTAGGTGGGCAGAGCATGGGCTCAGATATTGGCAAGGAGGATGACTCATGCAGAATATAGCCAAGAGCCACTTACGCACAGAGATTCAAGTGGGACTCAAAGGTGTCTCCCACAAGGGACCCCACAGTGCCTGACATTCCATTATCAGTCCCTTGAGCAAAGGGCAAGGATGAGCCAACGGCGGACACCAGAAGAAAGAAGGAAGCATGCTGACCACGAGGGTGACGATGGTGAATACATTTTTGCGTGAGGCTGAGCGCCGAGCTTCCTAGTGGGCCAAATGAAAAGGGACAGCGACGCACTGAAATGCTTATCGTATGGAAGGAAGCCCTAGGTCGGTTCCTTAGGGTCGTTGACAGTGTTGGACTTTAAAGATTGCTCGGGTGGGTCTTCCATGGGTATCACTAAAGACCATCATGGGGGTGGGGAGGGGGACCAGCTGCTCATGTCAGCCTGGAATCAAGGGGTGATGGAGGCCCATTGCAGAGAGGTGAGCGGAGTCGACCAACCAATGTGTCCCTGAGAGTACACAACCCAAGCCATCAGGCTGCTGCCGGACTCCAAGGACAGCAGCGTCTCTCCAAATGGCGTGGCCCTATCGGAAGGTCACTCCCTGACAGGGGGCTTCCTCAGCTGGGCGTGGAGATTCACAGGCCACACCTGGGACTCAGAAGGACACCGATGTTGATGTTGTCCTATCGAATCCGTTTCAACTCTGAGTGACCTCTGCAGACCGCAGACAAGACACGGTTCTGTCCTGCACCCTCCTCACCATGGACGCTGAGTGTGAGCCCACTGCTGGCAGCCATCGGCTCAGGCCATCTCCTTGAGGGCCTTCCTCCGTTTCCATGGCCTCTACTTCACCAATCAGGACGTTCTTCTCTAGGGACCTGTCCTCCTGACAACACGTCAAAGTGGAAGACATAAGACGAAGTCTTGACACTCTTGCTTCTAAGGAACAGGCTGGGAACGCTTCCTCTGGCAGCCCAGGGCCTAGCGGTCCTCCTTGCCAACACCGGCATCCCAAGGCGCCAGTGCTTCACTGACCTCCCTTACTTTGGTCCACCTTCCACACTTACGTGAAAAACAAACAACAAAACCCAAATTCATACCCAGAGAGTCAAGCGAATGGATAGTGATCCCACAGGTCAGAGTTTCCAAGACGCACCTCTTGATGGGAGTAGAGAGCCCCATCTTTTGCCCAAGGAGCGGCTAGTGGGCTCCAACAGCTGACCCTGGGCTGGCAGCCCAACACATCACCACTGCGCCCCCAGGCTCCTACACACACCTTGATGAGGTCACTGCAAGGCCAGGGCTTGGGTCAGGCACACCTGGGACCTCGAAGTGATCCGTTGTGCTTTTACACCGTCCAGAGGTAGAAGGATGAAGGTCGGGAGGACACGTGTCCACAGGGCATCCTTGACCTAGATGCTTCATTCTCCATCGGAGTCCATTTCTGGAGGAAGGCGTTCATGGGCATAATTTCAGGATGCTCCCAGAGCTCTGTCGCCAGTTGTCGGAGACACCATCTTCAGGGAGTCGTCGTGACTTCCTGCCTCAACGTCCATTAAGAATTCCTCTCTGCCTGGAGACGTCTCACCATCTCTGGCAACTTCTCATCAATGAGCAATGTTGCCTAGCAATAGTTTACACCCCAGCCCCCAATCAGGCTTCCAAGGTTTCTGTCAGAAAGTTGACCTAAGGCCAGGCTTGACCTTGGTTCCAGAAGGAAGGGAAGTTCTGCTTACCCCAAAGTGGACTGAGATCTGAGCAAGGTCAGCGTTCCAAACGAGAGAGAGACACGGGGCTTTCTACTCCCGCAGAGAGCGACAGTCTGGGAAGCCCACAGGGCAGTTCGACCCTGTCTTCCAGGGTCGTTGTGAGTCGTCATGGATGGCAGTGAACCTGCCCACAGGGTGGGCAGGGCGGGCAGGACAGGTGGCAGCCTTGCTGACTTGTCGCCTCTTTCTTCTTCATAGATACCACGTTCTTCAACGGCGGGGTTACAAATGTGGACAGCGTCGCCCACATTTTTGGTAAGTTCAGTCTGAAACGTCACTTCCCAAGCACCTGGCGCACAGTAGGTGCTCAGGTTTCATGACCGGCTGACCCTCTTCTCTGCCTGCATGTGCTGAGAGTCCTCGGAGCTGTACCTTCAGGATGCTTCCAGCCAATGGATGGCAACTTCAGTACCACACACGGTTAAGTCACCAAAGTGACGCTAGAACAAAGGCCCCTGCGTGATTGCAGTGACGCAACGTGGCCTTGAACCCACAGGGTTTTCATCTCTCTCATCACTGCCTCCGAAGATGTCCAATTTCCAACTTTGGGCTTGGGGTCTCATGGCTGCAAGGTGACCTCACCCACCGTCAAGAAAGAAGTTCAAGGAAAAGGGATCTACTTGCTTGTCAGAAAAAGAAATCTTTCCCCAAAGCCCCTAAGAGGCTTCCCCTCAGTTCTGTTAGCCAGCTCTGGCTCCTCATCTCAACCCCAGGCCCACCAGTGGCATGGAAGCAGGAGCCCCATGGCAAGCTGCTGGGGAGAAGGTCCCACTTCCCTGCGTACCTTGAGTGTGTGTTAGTCAGGGCGAGGAGCTGAGATGGATGTGGGGAAGTCACCAGCAGAGACCACGGCTTGGGAACCTGCTTCCTTCAGCTGTCCACAGTGGTCCCGAGATCAGAGCGGGTGCCTAGAAGTTCATCTTCATTCCCTACGGCTGCTGCAGCGGACACGCCATCATTGGTGGCTTTCACAAACGGGTGTAGCAAGCGCACAGGTCAGCAGCCTAGAAGTCCCAGGCAGGGCACCAGCTCAAGGAGAACCCTTCCTCTGTTGCCTGTAGAGCAGGGTGCTCACACGTTTTCAGCCAGCATGCGAGCTACTTTTAAAATGGTCAAGTCAAAATGATCTACCAACACAAAAATGCAAAAAATATATATATATTTATTTATTCATAAATGCATTGAGAATTCTTTATATGTACAGTGTATGTTTATGTACCTTGCATAACCACATGAGTCCATATTGCACAACATAACACAATTAACTATGTACATTTTTTTGTCATGACCTGAGTTTACGCTGATGACCTGCACTGAATGGAATGAGCCAGGGATGCATAGTCCGGACAGTAGCTGCTGACCGCACACTTCCAAATGATCATCAAGCACACTTCCAAATGATCATCAGTCATGGTGGAACGGGACTTGGACTTAATGATCTTTATGTGGGAAAAGGCTGACTCACATAAATAAGTAGAGCTGAATAATATAGTCAAGGATGTAGCACATGTTCTCATGTTGGGTACTGTCCCTCTGTGAGTAAGATCCAGAACTGTTCATGCAGCTCTGGACTTCAGCTGAATGTCGGCTTGTAATGTCAAAATCTCCCATTCCGTATGAAAGTGACACGTTTTTGTCTTCTTACTTGGTCCAGCTCCCCCACTCATTGTAATATCCTTTCTTACGTTTAAGAAAACCAAGGTCTAAAAATTGGCGATAACTTCGCTTGTCAGTTTTGCTGCACTTAGCGCAGTTGTTTGCGCATGTGTTTGACACCTAAGATTGCATCTGATTGGCTGTGCTGTATATCAGTTAAGTGATGGAATGGATGATAGGTTTATGTCTATTTTTTTAATACCATGCAATCTACCCACACTACATTTGCGGTCGACCAGTAGATCGCGATCGATGAATTCAGCACCCCTGCTGTAGAGGAAGGAACTTGTCTCCTTTCAGCACCTGTGGACCCAGTGTCCCTTGGATATCTCCACGTGTCCTGGTATCAATCTTCCCCTGGGTCTAGGAGGCTCTCTGCTCTCAGCATTTCCTTCTTAATGGTAGAATGTCCTTCTCATTTCTGCTTGATTGTTTACTCTCCTGTGTCCCTCAAAACCTTGTTGAAGAAAATTTACAACATGTAGGGTCATTACGTCAGATCACAAAGATGGCCTAGTCAAGTGGACACACTTAGTGGGGGAAGCACTCAAGTTCCATCCTCAACAGAAGTTCACGGCATATGGCTTGTCAAGCCTGGTGAGCTGCAGGGAGTCCCAGGCTGGGCTCCCTCCTGGATGCCCACCGGCCACTGCTCTCTGCCCCTCCTTCCTGCAGACTGCCTGGGCCCCCACTTCACCTGGCTGCAGGCTGTCTTCACCAACTTCCCCGCGCTGCTCCAGTTCGTGAATGGGATGAAGTGTGTGGCTGGCCTCTGCCCTCGGGACTTGGAAGATTACGGCTGTGCCTGCAGGTTTGAGATGGAAGGGCCACCTGTGGACGAGACTGACAGGTGAGTGGACAGCAGTAGGTGATCCAGGGTTGAGGGTGAGCTCAGGGGAGGCCTGGTTAATGTCTGGGGCACAGGGTGGACTTGCGCCCAGCCTGAGCTGGGGACTCGGAGATGCCTCCATCTGCCATGTACTGCCCAGGTAATCTGTCATCTGCTCACCTTCAGAGAGTCAAGGTCAACGCCTTATTGAGATGCAAAGCCCCACCTTAGCTTTCTCCTCAGTTAGGTTCCCGCCCACCCCCACCCCCCTACCCCACCGTCCCAAGCACCAGATGCTGCTTAAAAGGCAGATTCCCAAGCCCTCTCTCAGCCCCTTGGCTCAGGACACTTTTCAGGAGAGCCTGAAAGTGGGAATGTCAAACAGGACCCTTGGGTGACTCGTGAGCATCCAGAGCTCTGAGGATGACTGTTCAAAGTCACCCTGCTGGGAATGGTCCGTGTTGCCCCAGCAGTGAAGAGTCCAGGACAGCTTTCCCATGATGGCTTCTCCTCGGTTTTCAACAAGGGGGCACCACACGCCAACAACGGACAGACATTGTCCCTCCATCAGCAGAGCCCCAGCACTGCCTGAAAGAGCCAGGCGGTGTAGTGGGTAGTGTGCTAGGTTGCTAACCGCAAGATCAATATTTCGATCTTGCTACTCCTTAGGAGAAAGACAAAGCTTTCTACTCCCGTGAAGAGTTACAACCACAGAGTCGGTTCAACCCTGTCCTATAGGGTTGTTAGGAGTCAGAATTAACTCTATGGCATTAATTTGGGGGTGGGTGGGTAATATCCTTGCTTCAAGAAGCCCTGGTGGTGTGTAGGTTACATGTTGGGTTGCTGACTGCAAGGCTGGTGGTTCAAACCCACCAATTGCTCCAAGGGAGAAAGATGAGGCTTTCTGTCCCTGTACAGATTTCTAGCCTCAGAAACCCACAGGAGTAGGTCTAGCGTGTCTACAGGGTGTCTCTCAGTCTGGGTCGACTCAATGGCAGCACCATTGGTGGTTCTGTGTGCAGGCACACGGACCCACATGCATGTGCACACCATGTTTGAAGGACCCACTGCCTGGAACCAGCCAGAGTGGCCACTAGCTGCCCACTTCCTAACCCTGACCGGGGCCCTAACTGCCACCCTCCTCTGCCTCACCTCAGCTGCTGCTTCCAGCACCGCCAGTGTTACGAGGAGGCCGCCGAGATGGACTGCCTCCAGGACTCGTCCAAGCTTTCCACCAGCATTGACTGTGTCGGCACACGCATCTCCTGTGGTAAGTCTCTCCTGGGAGCCGGGGTCTGAGCTGAGAAACGTCAGCCAGGGCCGGAAGGCCTGGACCAGGCTGAAGTGTCCCCACTGATGGTCACCACTGCCCATCACCACTTCCAGTGGCGATAGCATCATCGCCGATGCGTAGGGCTCCGGGGGCGGAGCGATGGCAGCCAGGTTTCGCCTTTGCAGGAAGGAGCGTGTGGTAATGCTCACTGGGCAGATGCATGGTCCATGCAGGCCAATGCTCGGTGGGACTGCTGGTGTGCCCGGTCAGTAGAGGATCTGAATTGCAAGTTGGTATTTGTGGCCATCCTGAGGACGTGGGAAGGACAGATATGTGCTCCTGAAGCATTGTGTGTCGTTTCGGGCTGGGTGGTGGGGGTGGGGGGATGACTTAACCGCTCCAAATCTCCAAGCAAATGGGGCGGGGAAAGGCTGCGGCAGACTCGCTATGAGCCTGACCCCCCAGCAGTGTGGCATCTGCTGTGACCCAGAGCTGGCAGTGGAGGGTGCTGTGGGGTAATCGGAGCTGTCGTGGTTGCTGTTATTCATCAGCTGGGGTTGACATCTCACCGCCTGAATAGCTGGGTGGTTCTGGGGGATTAGGCAGAGGGCTACTGGGGAGAGGGAGGGGGTGTGTTGAGGACACAGCTGACAGCTGACCTTCCCTGAGGGCTGGCTGTGTGTCAGAGGCTTTGTTCTCACCTGCACTCCCTGGGATGCCTGGGCCTTTAAAGGACCCTGTGGATTTCCCCCTAGGGTCTTGGCCACGTCCATTCTGTGTCTGCTGGTAGCCCGAGGGGTCCCCAGGGTCTGGGCATTCTGTGCTGTATAGATGGTGCTCTCTCCCTGTTGTCTGCCCTCCGGTGTGTCTGTCTCTATTCTGATCCGTTATGCCACAGAGGGCGGAGCTTTAGGACCCTGGTTCCTCTGCGGGTTACATGTTGGCTGCTAACCACAAGGTCAGTGGTTCAAACCCACCAGCATCTCTGTGGAAGAAAGATGAAGTTTTCTGCTCCTGTAATGGCCCTGGAAACCCACAAGGGCACTGTATCCTATAGAGTCACTAAGAGTCAGACTCAACCTGATGGCTGTGAGGATTTTTGTATTTTTTGGGTGATGTGGCTTGTCCAGATGGGATAGGCACTGGGCTACTCAGTACAGGGTGAGCAGTTCAAACCCATCAGATCTGAACAAGGCTTTCTGCTCCCCCAAATCCATAGGGGCAGTTCCACTCTGCCTTCTAGGGTCACTATGAGTCGGAATCCGAGTCGACTGCAGTGAGTTTGGTGTTTATTGTTCGTGGTATGGTATAACCAGTCCCTGGAGAAGAAGGACTGGTTTGATAAAATCGAAAGTCAGAAAACCTAACTCGCTGCCATCAAGTCAGTCCCGACTCATAGCAACCGTATATGATAAAGTAGAGGGGCAGTGAGAAGGAGGAGGGCCCTCGATGAGATGGGTGGACACAGTGGCTACACCGAGGGGCTCAAACATAAGAGCAATTATGAGGATGGTGCTGGACCGGGCACTTTCCATTCGTGTACATGGGGTCACTATGAGTCAGAACAGACTGGAGGGCACCTAGCAACAACATGACCTCACCAGTATACAAACCCCAACCCAAACCAAACCCATTGCCATTGGGTTTATGCCAACTCACAGCCGCTCTCTAGGACAGAGAAGAATTGCCCTGTGAGTTTCCAAGACTGTAGCTCTTTACAGGAGTAGAAAGCCTCGTCTTTCTCCGAAGAGGCAGCTGATGGTTTTGAACTGCTGACCCTGCAGTTAGCAGCCCAACACATAACCACTAGACCACCAAGGCTCCTTAACGAAATAAGACCTCATTCCCAAAGTGGGTACTGAAGTTTGGTTCTTAACATGTGTGTGGAAGACAAGGAGAGGAGAGGTCATAGAAATTAAATTACTTAGCTGTTAAGTGGCAATGTCAGGGTTTGAACCCTTATATTCAGGTTTACTGTGTCTCATTGACCATGCCAAGACATTTGACTGTGTGGACCATAAGAAACACTGTGGATGACCTTGAGAATAGGAATTCCAGAACACTCCATTGTGCTCATTCCAAACTTGTACGTAGATTCAGAGACAGTTGTGCCAACAGCCCAAGGGAAGGCTGCATGGCTTAAAATCAGGAAAGGCGCATCAGGGCAGCATCCTCTTACTGTAAGAATTCAACCTGCATGCTGGGCAAGTCCTCACAGCATCGGGATTATAGGAAGAAGAGTGGCGTAAGGATGGGAGGAAGGCTTTTTAACAACCTTCAATATGCAGATGACAGAACCTTGCTTGCTCAAAGGGAGGAGAAATCGAAGCACTTGCTGAGATCAAGGAGTATAGCCTTCAGTATGGATTGCAACTCAATGTAAGGATGACCAGAACCTCATGATAAACGGAGAAAAGTTTGGAGTTGTCAAGGATCTTGTCTTGCTTGGATCCACACTCACTGCTCCTGGAAGCAGCAGTGAAGAGATAAAAGACATGTTGCATTAGGTAAATCTGCTGCACAAGACCTGCTTGGAGTATTAAGGAGCCAAGGGTGTTATTTTGAGGGCTAAGGCGCACCTGACTCAAGCCATGGAATGCTCCATTGCATCATATGCGTGTGACATTGAACACTGAATAAGGAAGACAGTAGAAGAATCAGTGCATTTGACTCGTGGTGCTGGAGAAGAATAGGAAACGTACCAGGGACTGCGGAAAGGACAAATAATCTGACTTGGAAGAAGCACAGCCAGTGTGTCCCTAGAGGCAAGGGTGGCAAGACATCACCTTACATCCTTTGACACGTTGTCAGGAGAGACCAGCACCTGGAGAAGGACATCGTGCTTGGTCAAGTGGAGGGGCAGCAAGCGAGAGGAGGCCCTCAAGTAGCTGGACGGACACGGTGGCTGCAGCGATGGGCTCCAGCACAGGAACCATGGTGAGGACGCCGCAGGACCAAGCCGGGTTTAGTCTGTTGTGCATAGATAGGGTCGCTCTGGGTTGGAGCGGGGTCAAGGCACCTAACAATAACAACAACAACATATTCAGGGGTGGCGCCCTGGTGGGTTATGTGTCGGCCTCCTAAAGACACAGTCAGCAGTTCAAAACCACCAGTCACTCCTCAAGAATAAGACAGGCCTTTCTATTTGCATAAAGAGTTGCACTCTCAGACACTCAAAGGGGCAGTTGGACCATGGGCTCAAAGGCCGTGCATTCCGCAAGGAGAGGAATAGGTTGAAGCCACTGGGTGCAGGATGCATCCATTCAACAGATGCTTGCTGAGCATCAGTGCCCAGTGCCCAAGGACCCCATCCGTCTGAAGGCTCCTGCCCTGGCATTTCCTCCCCACTGGGCAGGGGTGTCATGTGCTAGATCACACAACAGCTATGGAGGGAAACTAATGAGGAAAGGGCTGC